CACGACAACAAAAAATAAGGAAAAAAACAAAGCAAATCAAGGAGAATCACTGACAAAAAAGTCGAAGCATTACCAAAAATAGATGACAACAGATACACAAAACCACCGTCGCTCCACAATGGGTTAAATAACACCCCATATGACATGTGATCGCGATAATTTTGCCCGAATTCTCATTTCCGTCATAATGCCAGTTATGCCGTCACTTGACACGGTGAAAATTCCCAACCGTTCATCACTTTCTTGCTTCTACATGCAAGCCACGTCAATAAGAATTTACCTTACTAAATGTAGATGTGGTTCGGAAACTATATGTCGATACCTAACATTGTGCATGCTGTCTCGGGGACCTTTTATCTTGGGGACTTTTTATGATAAAAGAATGCCTTGTAATTATCCTTTTGACTCCAATTTCATCCTAATACTGTAATAGCGGTTATCAAGTGCACATGTTCCATCTAAATTACTTGTCTCAACAGATTTTAATAATAAATGCTATACTCAAATCCTATCTCCACAATAATATGCATATAATATTCTTCATCTCATTTGGCGTTTCCTGTATCAGAAGTTTATAATGGATGAATTTCTTATAATATATCCCTAAATTTTTGACATGCAATGCGGAAGAATATTAAGTGGTGCACCTAAATCGATGGAAAAAGTATAAATAATGTAATATAAATTAACACAGCACATAATATTATCCTTGATAAAATAATTTAGCAGAAGGGAATACAGTGTTAGAACTCAAATAGACATATATTAAGGTATTCAAGTTATTGAATAATGTGGAAATTCAGATCATTTATTATATAAAGACACTGGTCATCCAAAATTTTCCTAACGCGAAAACTTTTAAAAATTTTAATTAGATTGATATGACGACATAAAGCTTATAGTAAAATTCTTAGTGACGCAAAAAGTATAAAGTGCATAATCCACAGAATAAAGAGGTTTCCTGAATGTAGTATGGTGATCATTCACGTTCATATTTCTCACACTCCCATCATTGATATTCAAGTATTATCTTGTTGAATACAAGTGGCACTATAATCTTCGATTCAGATTTATAGTTGGTGCTTACCCGTGCTTGTATGCACGCTGCTCTCCCAACAATCGTAACCATATGACATTTATCACCTTATAGAAAATCAGTACACGAAAATGCACTACGGAATTCGGTAAACTGTATAATGAAAAAATTTAAACACTAAAGCATACATAATTGTAATGAAAAGTGTATGGAAAGTGTATAAAAAGATACGTTTACTACACGTAAAAAGTATGCATGACAACAAGTCAATATTAGATATGTGCAATTTTGCACGGAATCCACGCTTCTTTGCGTGTTTTAGACGTGCTGTTCAGTGCACTTGTTTAGTGTTGTCTCATTCAGTAATTTATAGGGCTGAGTACAGTCAACTCTTCCAAATCCGGTCCTGAATCCGAACCCTTAATCAACTCTGTAAAAACCGAACACAAAACTTCAGAACATTTGCAAATTTTATTATAAAGTTCGGATAAACAACATAGTGACTGAACTTTTTGTTATTTTTACATATAAGAACGGACTGTTCGGAATAGAGAGAGTTTACTGTACATGAAAGAGATCTGAATGGCCTCTAAAAAACAGTGTATATATAATGCATTTAAAATCACACCTGCACCGAACGTCTTTAATTGACTGTTTCTGAGTTTAGTGTTTGGTACGGTTAACAATATTAAAATTTGTCTTCTAAGCTCTCTAGATTTTGATTACCTCCTGTTTCCTGGATAGTTGAATCAATAAGTCAGTCAGACAAAGGTTCATCCTACTACGTTTGCCTTATATGATCAAATCTAATTACAATCTTTAATTATAATTACCGAATAAGATATCAAAGATTTTGTCACGGGATTGTCAAATGAACTTCTACTAGTTGGCTATAAAAAACAAAAAACATTCGTCTCACTTTACTGAGGTATGAAATTCAACTAAATAAATTTGTGGTCATATGGCAAGCAATTAAAGGCAAATTACACTGTAATAGTAGTGGCGGTTTATGCTAAGATTCGGGGGTCCCTATTTAAATATATTTAAATCTACAATATCTACTAAAATCCACATACCCTAAACCAGTGTTGTCATGAGACACGGACGCGGACGGCGGCTTGTGTATCTGTTGTCATCTATTTTTGGTAATGCTTCGACTTTTTTGTAAAGATTTTTTGTGTGTGTTGATTGTGGTATTGTTGTTTCTATTGTATATGTGGGATGTTTTTTATTG